ATCAATAATTACCTAGTCTTATCTAATGTAATTTCATTTATCAGCTGAAAATTATCATTATGAAAATTTGATAATTAATATGCACTGTGTCCAACCAAAAACTATTCAGGTCTGTGAATCATCCTAGAACTTCAATGTATCAAGTTTTTTTGAAATTGGACAAGCTCACTAACCTCAAAGCAACTTGACTACTGTATGACTGCAATCAACCCAAAAAGTCTTGTATAAAAATAATCACATCATGAGTACAAGAGTATATGCCAGTTGTATTTCATTGCCCTTAAATACAACTTTGAAACATTCTGAAGTAAATGCAGTGTTTCAATACTTTACCGTAATCAGTGGTTAGTGGATGTACAAATAAGACTTCTCCAGGGAAAATTAGCATATTTGAGGCAGATAATCACCTCGCATAGCCTGACAGTCATACACCACTTGAACTTAAAAATTATTCAGGAGATTCTAAAGTGAATTTAAAAGGTATGAATACATATACAAATTGTTTTTTCAATAACATTGTTTCCATGGTAATGAATAAAATATTGTGAGATGCCACATGGTGCGTTGATTATGAATATTACTGTTTTTCAATTTTTTAATTATTATGCAGAACCCATTTCCATTTATTTAAATTAAATAATTAAACACATATGTGTATCATTAAGCATTCAACAATTGTCATCATAATGTGAAATAAATTCTCACTGGTGCATGTGAGATTTTATAATGACCTAAGGGGACAATTATTTAATCCATCACCTTAGAGAGTCAATTGTGGCTAAAATTAGCATTCATTCATCTTACAATCATCTTTTGCAAAAAAGTCGTCTGGTGTATCTTCAATCATTTCAACAAATTTATAAAACATTTATCATTAGAAATATATATTCACTCCCAAATTATATCTATTTTGTTCAAAATTGACCATGAAAATAGATAGAGAAAATTGCACTCAAGTTTTTGTGGGAATTAAATGTTGGCGATGCTTCTTTTGAAGCTGATGCTCTCTGACATTCTTCGTGTTTGTAATTAACATGTACATCCTTTTATAGTCTCGTCAGAGAATTAAATAAATCAAATCAGCAGTTTTTTGGAAAATCCATAATTCATAAGTAAAAATTGATAAGCTGGTGAAATTGAATCTATTTGTTCCTTCATTCATCCAATGAATCTTGTTACTACTTTAATTACAATTGATGAACAAATAAAACAATCCTAAATTGAATTTTCTTAACAACTTTCGATAGATGACTGCCATGATAAGAATTAATGTGGGTATGTGGGAAAAAACAAGAATAGTCAGAAAAAAAATCTAATCAGTCCCCTTGAATTTTCCTACATCTCTTTCCTTTTCAAACATGCACTCATCCACCAGAATTATATCTGGTAACATTTTTAATGTGTTCTGTGTGGTCCATAAACTGTTAGTTTCATATATGCATTAATTAATTTAATTTATTCTTTTAAATTTTGTTAATGAACTTTATAATTGTTGACAAGCTATCACAGTCATTTAAATACTATGTACTTCATTTTTTTCGAATTTATACATATTTGTAGATAAAAATATGAAACAAAAATTATATTGAAAGTCAGTAACAAAAAGTGGGTTTAGTTGTCTCTATGGATACAGCTGTTTTGTGATTTTCCAAATACTTTACTCAGTTAGTAATTTTGAATTGAAATCACAATCTTGACAAATTGGAATCTTAATTAAAAAAATGTGTGCTTTGACCTCGATTTTAACCTGAATTGTTAGTAAATCTGCCTTGGATAAATTTTGAGTGTACAAAACGTCTTCCAAGTCTGTGACCTAAATGGAGATTGGCCATTAGTCTTATTCCGTGTTGGGAATTTCCATGTGTATAGTTTCCTCCACAAATGCTATCATGTAAAGCTTTCTGACTACCATATTACTTCCAACTATTCCCCTGTTGTTAGTTTCTAAACATTACTATTCGCTGAGAGTAAAAAGCATTCTAATTGTTTCTACTACAAAGCCAATTATAAATAGGGCCAAGTATGACTTTAAATAATATAAGAACAAAGGAAAAATCATTCCGTAACATAAGATTTTATTGATGGTGAATATTTAATTCAAAACTTGTGAACATTATTGAGTGCAGAAGTCAGCTAATATGATTAGTCCGTGATATCACAGAGCTAGCTCTCAAGGGATTTGTGATTTAGGATAAGAGCTCGATTGGATTTTTATGTTAACTACCTGTCTCTTATTTTTTCCTCTACCGCCGCTCTTCCTCGCACGATGAGTATTATATGTCGGTTGTGAATATTATTACTTGCATTTATACAAATAGATGCTGGGGATACTTTTTATGACTGGGTCACAGTTGGATTGTAAGATATTGAAATGCTCCGCATAGTGGGGTGTCCAATCCTTGACCATTGCTTGTTATGCTGGCACTCTATTGCAAGCTGATATGTGAATTTTGACACCCACAAATTTTAACCAACTTATCAATTGCCCATTCCAGCCGCAGCAAGATTGCATGCAAGTATACGTGAGGCGATGTAGTCATGTCAATCTGGTTTGAGGATACGTTGATTTCTGTCGGCCTCGAACCAATTGTTCTACTCATGAGCCGCACCATGTCTAAACCTTCGGCCACAGGTAGTGATGTTCCATCTCTCAAGCCACAGTATGGGGTAAGACTGATGTTTTATTATTCCACTATTTCTAATAGATGCTAGCATCAATTTATTATTATTGTTGTTATGTAAACAGCTGTGTGTCTACCCCAAAGCTGTTAAGTTTCTGGCAATATTTAAGTAGCTATAATTCTCTGCACATGTGATATAGCTTCTAAGGTTAAAATAAGTAACATCAGAATTGAATTTCATTTTATTTATAGATTGGTTTAAAGTGAGATTAGGTGAAATGAAATTAGTCAATTACAAACTTGTTTTCATGTATCGAATTCTGTGTCTTTGTCAGCTGATAATTAAATCATAACAGAATTTTATAGTTTATTATTACACTGGAAACTCACTATATTGTAAAAAAAAAATTATTTTTTAATAATATTAAGATTAATATCAATAATATGACTAATATCTCTGATCACGAGATGTGAAAAAATTTCTCGATTTCAATTTTCTGATAGAATCGAGTGTTAAATGTTAATTTTGGCCATTTTAGGGGGTATTTTTGGACTTCTGTTTCTGATACCCTTAATTTTTGTTTCAGTTCCAATATCCTAATAATGTAATTTTGTTGTATCAAACTACTTAATTCAGGCACTTTTTTTCAGTTCACTGTACATGTACATGCCTTAGGCAGCAGATGCTCTATGGTCTGTAGGGGGTTCAGTTCAGTTAGTATCCTCCCATAGTAATGGGTACACTACCCTCTAGCAGTTATTGGGGCGCCCTCTCCATTACATTGTGTAATAAATATGTCTGGTTTATTGTCAATTGTGTTCCTTGTTTGTCCCAATACAACAAGAACACTTCTGAAATATATTTTGTAAAATTAATTTTGAAATAAAGGAACATCGTTTTTCATTGCCTGTCTAATTTCATATTTTTTTTTATATTTAATAAAAGTTCACTTTCTAAGGACTAGTTATTAAAAATGCAAGGTTTGGATTAGTTTTGGGTGAAAATCTGTGCATACTAATAACCTAATCTGCATAATGATTAGTCAAATTTCGGCCTTTCCAATGATATCTCAAGTACTAATCATCACATTTCAATGAAAATTGGTACATAGATCCTCTAGGACTATGCAGAAACATGATTAGTTTTGGGGTAAATAATTGTGCATATTAATTACCTAATTTGCATAATTAATTAATTTTCAGCTTTTCCATTGATATCTCAAGTACTAATCATCACATATCAATGAAACTTTGTACATAGATGTCATAGGACAATAGACAGACCTGATTAATTTTGGGTTGAAATCTGCTCATATTAATTTCCTAATTAACATAATAATTCATAATTTGTTTGGTTCTAATCACATTTCAATGAAACTTGGTACATAGGTGGTCTTTTACATTGTGCAGACCTTATTAGTTTTACACTCAAATCTGTTCATATTAATTTCCTGATTTGCATGATTAGTTTTCAGCTTTTCCATCAATACATGTATGTCAAATACAAGTAATTTCAAATTAATTTTAATGTGTCTCCAATACTCTCAGCACAAGGAAGTTCATTCTAAGCTTTCTTTGATTTTTTCCCCCTGATTTGCAAGAATCTGAAAAACATGGTTCACAAATTATCTCTTTATTTAATTTCAAGTCGTATTTAAGATGGTTGCCCCATATACATGTAGTTAATATTGGAAGATTTCATTATCACTTGTAATCCAACTGACCATGTTCCCAGCATGCTAAGACAAAAGTGGTGAACTATACATATCATGAAATCTTTTTTGTTTATCTTTTTCACCGCCAGTTCCCTCTTTTCATCACAAATTCACAAAGTAGTCCCGTTTATAGTCTTCACTACAGCAACCGAGGTGTCGCACAACATGGAATTTTATAAAACCATTTTCACAATTCATTTTCATTTTATAATTCCTTTTTAATAACCAATTTTGGTTCTGAAATAAATTTTTAAAGCCCACTTTCGTTTTTTGAGATCTGTTTTTATTTTAAGCCGATTTAATTTTATTTAAAAAACCAGTTTAAATACATTTTCGTTTTTTAAAATCTGTTTTCATTTTTAAAATCCACTTTCATTTTTAAAATCGATTTTCATTTTCAACTCCATTTTTGTTTTTTCAAATTCACAATGAGTTCAACATCTCAATGTTCTTTTTATAGCGCAATGAAAAATAATTTCCAACAACCATCTAGTCAGGGTTGAGAATCAACATGTTCGATTTCAGCCAGGCACAAATACCTTCAATACACATCTTGAAGTGATTAATTGAATCAGATGGCTAATTACATTTGCATATAGCTGCACTTTCCTCTGTCTTCATGTCATACTGAATCAGTATACCGGTATATTCTCTTCAACTCATCACCGAGGGCGTGATTTCGGTTTGTGTCGAGTGTTCGGGCAGCAAATCTCACTATATGCTGAGTTTCAGTCCTGAGCATCTATTGGGATTGAGATCAAGTTTTTTTTGGCATGAGCAGACTCACACATTTCGGCATGTGCTGACTTAGTCCAGGGTCTTGGCATGTGCCAACATCTCTAACCTGAACATCACTAATGAGGAAGAGGTGTGAATGGCTATGTACACACTGTGAGGTACAGCACAAAGCAAAAAACTTTTTTCCACTATTTGTTTGAAACCAGCACCAGTTTGTATGTCAAACTTATGTCAAAGTCTTAAAAAATGACTGAGAAAGTTATAAATAAATAAACATTCACACATTCAATTCTTAAATTTATTAAAGCAAACAGATCCTCAAATATCCCAGTTGTCAGACCATGCATTTAATTAATTTCACATGATGCACTGGTGCATATTGTATTGAATTAGCTAACGAGTAAAAATTTAAAACCACTACAAATTCTTGATAATTTCAGTAAAAGGTTCCATCAAATAAATGAATACTTGAACTTGTTTCCATGGAAATACAAACTACATGCATTTCAAGAAAGAATGAACAAAATACAACCAACCAGCGAGAAAATGGTAAAATACTACAAGAGATAAAAAAAGACAGACTTTTCAAGTTCAACTCTTCGTCAGTGACTAAAAGTTGAACTCGAAATGTCTGTCTTTTTTATCTCTTGTAGTATTTTACCATTTGTAGTATTTTTACCATTTTCCCGCTGGTCGGTTTTATTTTGTTTATTCTGCATTTTTATACTGCTGGCAGCATCACATTTTGTTGTGCATTTTGTGTCTAGTTTTATGCATTTCAAGAAATTCCTGTTTCCAAAGCATTGGAATTGGGTAACCTCGGAGTGGGCGTAAACCCAAAGATAACTTCAGAAAAGATAAAACATTTATTTTGTTTAACATTGTAGCCACATTACCCCCTCAAGAAATTATTCACATGACAATTGTGATTAACCAGGTGCCAGATTAGGGAATACATGTATGTTACATCTATTTGGTGAAAAAAAAATTGCAAAATGACTTGCATCATCATTGAAACAATGAAAAAGCAAAACATGTTCAAAAAAAAATGTATTACTGTAACAATATTATTTACGAATCAACAGAATTTACATTGTAAAAATTATTAGGGTCTGTGGAAAATTCTTCATCATTGTTTTCGATTACACAAAAAATCTCGATATATATTTTCACTATTGAGAAATTTATAGTAATGTCACCCAAGGTCAAGCTCTCATGTTTATGTTGTCAGCAGCTGTGTAAATTGATACATGTGACTCTCATTATGAGAATATAGAATTCTGAGACTTACCAGACCCTGGGCAATTAATAAAGTTTTTTGTTTTTTTTTTAAATATTTTTTTTTGTGCCAGGCGACAGTTCTGGACGTTGAGTGTCACTTTTGTCTCTCCTGACTTTTTTTTCTGTATGTGCAAATTGCAAGTGCTAGTGACGACACGTGCATTTTGCCACAAAAGTCATATTCATGTTTGGGACTACATGTACATGACAGGGCTGTGTGGCCATCTCTCTGTCAAATGGCAATTTGTAATGCGCTATCCTGGTGTCTACCAGGCCCGGTCGAACACAAGCACCTGCAGACCTTAACCAAGGTTCCCCCAAAGTCGCATTCGTTAGTGACCGGTTTTTCAATTAATAAAGTTAATTTTTAGCTCAATGAACCATCCACTGTGGTATAGAGACGGTGATGTGTCCAGGGACTGAAGCCTGAATGTCTGGATGTGGGCGACTTTCCAAAAAACGCTTAACTCTTTTACACTTTACTTGTTTCGCCGCTGATAAGTATATTGGAAATGAGATGTTTATCTGCAAAGAATTATGCAAATTAGCTATTAAAATGCTGAAATGACTTCTACTATGACACTGTTTGGTCTGATATTGATAGTGCACATGTATTGGGCCGACCCCTGTCATATTTGTACATTTCATAGAGATATCTTCATTTCTCTGCTTTTGGTGAATATTTTTGTCATTTTTAACTTCTTCCTGAAAACCATGGATGTGATTTAAGAAAATGTTATTAACAATATCCGTAGCAAATCATCAATACATGTATATCACTATATAGATCATTATAAACTTTGTTTAGAGGAAGACATTCTACAGAGAACAACTCTGAAGGGTAAGACTCATGTGCAAATTATTTTTTTTTCTTTACCGAGTTTTAAGATGGGTGTATATGTGGCTGTTATCTACTAATATCTAAGGAAATGATAATCTGAGTCAGTGTAAGGGGAGAATAGGAAATCAAACAGTGGATAGCTGTACAGTAATAATGCTAGACAAATTACACAAATACTAAATTAACAAAAAAAAATAATTTTAATATTAACAGCAAACATGAAATTACCAATAACAATTAATTAAAAAAAAACAATAAAAACAGTTACATTATTTGTAAATCATCGTTGTTTTTCATGAACACCACATATTCTATAACCATCTGTTACAGGTATCATCATGTATGATACCAGAGGTACATTACTTGGGGTTTGCAACTACGGTGAAATGATACCAAGATCCCGTTACAATCTCGCTCTCGCATAAGCGTTCCAACTCAGAAAAATGCGAATGCGCATGCCCGAGGTAACTA